TAGCCGGAAGAAAAAAATGCATCTGGATTTGAAAGTTTTTCCCTGCGATGCGGCTGTGTCACTGGAGTCACTCTTTCTAGCATATTGGTGAGCAGACCTAGCTGAACTAGCACAGAAAATTAGCGTGCGACTGGGTCTTTGCAATGAATGCCGGAGATTTGCTATAAACTCCAAAGTGTCGGGTAGTTACCCCATCATTTGGAGAAACCATGCAGTGGAAAACCATCAAAATGCGTTGGAACGAACCAGGGATGCAAGGAGTAAAAACATGGTTTCCCAAAATTTGGAAAATGATAATACAATCACTAAAAGTTGATGATTTGGAACCATATACCAAATATTGACCGTGGCCCATCTGCCAAAATATACTTTTTGGATCTTTTGGATGATGATTTCCAGTGACTTTCGCAAAATTTTCAGGAGGTTTTTCAACCACCAGTGGTGTTTACTAAGGGGTTAACCACCTGGGTCCCATAGTGCCCACTGTGGTTTTCAATCAACGGCTGGCAGGGCTAGTAAAACCGGATCATCCCCTGAGGTCAAAGTATCCCCCTGCAGTCATGGGTGCAGCCATAGTCAGATCTACCATCTGGTTATGACTAACATAACCATGGAAAATCCCCAAAATAAATGGAGGTTTCTAGCTGGGAAAATCATCTATAAATGGGCAATTTTCCACGGCTATGTTAAGCTACCAGAGGGTATTTCTAATAGATAGCAACAAAATCATCACAGCACATCCGTCCCCAAAGCAATCTATGTGTGAGATTATGTAAGCAGGAGATGTCACCAAAAATTGGATTTCAGCTGGAATTTCAGCAGGGACCTTCCAACACATTGGAAGCAACAAACAGTCAACTTTGGGCTGTGTCCAAACCTTGAAATCTGGGTTTTTCCAAACCTTTGAAATCTGCATGTCTCCAAACACAGGATATCAGAGTTTAAAAAAAAAATGCAAACTCTCATCATTTCCAATTTTTTCGACTTGCCATAATATCATGGTAAATTGCCATAAGTTCCCCATGCCTAGGACGAGATGCCCAGATTGGCCAGCATGCCGGGTCAACCGGAAACTCGTGGTGGGACCCCCCAGTGGTGGGATCACAATGGAGTGAGATGGACCCAATTTCCAGTGGACTTGGGCTATAGTTACTATAGTTCTGTGACGAGACCACGTATATGTATGTATATGTTAGATGTTCAATTCATGTTCTGATTTGTGAAAAATGTACTATTTTCCTTGCAGCCTGTTTGGCTGCAAATGCTTGGCGCGTCGTTTTACCAAATCGAAATGGTCGAAAAACGTATGGAGGTCGGGGGGAGCCAGGTGCAGCTTTAACGTAGATTTGGCCATTGATATGGCAGCGTTTTTGCCCGTGTTTTTTGGCCATTGATATGGTTCTGCTTTGAACATGGGGAATATCCCAAAATGGTCACTTTAGTATATAGTACGGAACGTGAGGAGGAAACATCAAAATTGGAAGTACCTATTTTCAGACAAACCCAAGTCCTTTTTGGTTGTTTGATGAAAAGAAGAGAGAGGTAATGATCTGCAATGATCAATCGGTTGTCCTATGAATTTTCACACCCTATGGATAAAACATATTTTTTTTTATGTCGCCCATTGTCCCCAATCTATGCTGAAAACGATGGAACACATCCTGAAAGTCATCACTTTATCGCCATAACTTGCAGGTAATTCATGAAAGATCCTCCAGAGTTGATTCATCTATCCGATAGCCCAGGTTCCATTCCACCAAACACTGACCCCAGCGTGGATAGCCTCATGGATAACAAACCGTGCCTGGTCGGCATGGCTTTGGGCGGAAAGCCGAACAACCAACACCTCTTATTTTGCAGGTACTTGGAGGTGCAGTTTCAGCTATAAGTAGATATAAAACCATGGGCCTAGGGGTAGCCCCAACTTATGGAGGAAATCACCATGCTTATACTTTGCAACCTCATCCGCAGCCCCAAGCATACCAGCTATTTTGGTGTTCACCAGGGTTGCGATGGGTTTGACCCATCGCCAGATGGCTTGTTTTCTGCAACTCAGGCACTATTCCACGAAATCGCTGGGCTTCGCCAATTTTCAAAGAAAAGATAAGAAGGCTGCTTGATTTCAATTTGACCAGTCCTCCAGGAACCTTGGGGGGGTACCCTCTGGTAATTTAACATAACTATGGAAAATCACCATTTTTCATGGGAAAATCCACTATAAATGGCTATTTTCAATAGCTATGTTAAATTACCAGAGGGTATTCATTGTAGAAATGACGGTAGTTGATGGGCACCCTGTCCGGCATCCGAAGTAAACCATCCGAAGATGGCTGGTAGTTTCTTGGAAAGGCTGGAGCAACAAGCTCACCTGACGTTTCTTCCCTCAGTTTCCCAGTTTGTGTTGGGGGCTTGGCCTTGATCCATGGACTGAAGCCTGGACTTGGTGTCTCTCCACCAGCCCCATTCAACCGCATGGTTTTGAAAAAAAACTGTTGTATCTGTTGTTTATAGATTGTCTGTACTAATTTGGATTACTGTTTTTGAAGGAAACACATGACCATTGTGGCCATAGGTTGTTTGCTCAACATCCCCATCATGTTGCTGGTGAATAATATAAATCCCATAGTTTTTTGAACACCTCCATGGTTTCAGCTCCTCCACCCATAAAAAATATATATAATAAATATATATATAATTATATATATAGGTAAATGATGTCCACAAGGGGAGGAAATAAGTAGTTTACCTCCTTATCTACTAATTCCACCGACCTATCTGGGGTGGCCAGGGAGTATGGATTCTGAATACGGGTTTGTGTAAAAATTAGGCAATTTTACGGTATACGGTATACCACCAAATGGGCCACAGGTCAACCAGTGGAAAGGGTGAAAACCCCCAGACTTTGAGACAAGCCGCCACATCGAGACCCTCCAAGTACTCCTCCAAATTGCTATAAATATTCTAAATTGCTATTTTTCTATATATTTTTACATGATTTCCCCCTATAAATGGAGCACATTGGAGCACTTTATAGCAATACTTGACCCAGTAAAATGGCGGGCTTTTCATCGTCTTTAGGGCGGCTCTATGGCGTCCATGAATCGACGTCAGAGCGAACCGGAGCTGCCACCGTCCTCGCCCAGCGGCTTCGAACAGCAGCGACGGAACTTCCTCAGTGTCCTGGTGGACTCGGAATGGATATTACAAGGTGGTGCCCCATAGTTAGCTAAGTTGGTTTCTAAGTCCCATAGCTATGGTTTATGGCAGATATATCTATAGTTAATGGGGTTTATAAACCCACTTATAACTGGGGGGCACCATCCTGTAGAATGTTTAAGCTATTATCCAATTCTAGAATTATTCTAATTGTCTATGTTTGATAATTCTTTTTTTTTTTAAAAATAGCAATAGACTATTAGAATACAGTTTGATAGAAGTTTTTAATAGTTCCAACTTTTATCCACTATATGTTCCCTATGCTATAGTAAGTTCCCCTATGGGAAAGGATAGGCTCTTTAAATTGGCTTCAGTCTGGAAACCCAAAGAAATCATAACAGATCTATGGTTTAGATTGAAATACATTGAAATGGCATACAGCTAATGCACAGGATGGATCGACGGATGGATAAGTGACAATATCTGCTTGAGAAATTGGGTATGGAAAATGAATGAAGTAGATTGTTGAACGGATGTTTATGGCTTTAAGATTTTTGAAGATGGCCTGGTATGATATGGGACATATATATATATACATTAATATATATATATACATTAATATATATATATATACATTAATATATATATATATACATTAATATATATATATATACATTAATATATATATACATTATTATATATATATATATACATTAATATATATATATACATTAATATATATATATATGTATATGTAGCTATATATATATATATGAACATTATATATATATATATGCAACTATATATATATATGAACACTATATATATATATATGTATATATGAATATTTCTTTGGAAAGTTTGGGCAGAGTGAATATGAATGGACGTTAGTGGAATATACTGGAATACGATTCGTTTTGTGAGGCATGATTGTAGTGTTTTTGTTCATGCAAACACGTGATTTTTCGGAAGGGCTCTTCATCACTGCCAGTTTTTTGCCCCAAATCGCCTCCTAGGATCGAAAACCAAACATGCCACGCAATCGCAATATGGCGCCATGGGCGAATTGGAGGACTGTGACACTGCGACACAACGGGACATCCCAGGGAATCGAAAAAATATGGGACGCCTCCAAGGCACTGAATTTTCGCTATGGCCATGGCACATAGAAATAGTTGATTTACCTATTAAAATGTGTTTTTTTCTCGATTGCTATGCTATGTTTGTTTACCAAAGCGTAATGTTCATGATTATTATTGTGATGATCGTCATGATGATGTTGATCGTGATATGGGTATGGGTCAATACCTATAGATACATTTTTAGTGGGATGAACATCCATTTGCCAGCTATTTTGGGGTTCACTAGGTAACAGGGTTTTGACCCATCCCCATATATCGTCATCATTATCCTCATCATCGTCGCCATCACAATCACCATCCTGGCACAACATCGAGGTTTTTTCGTGGATGTCATATGATGTCATGATAGACTCCCCTTTCTAGATTCATAGAATTGGATGATGGGAAAATTTACAGGAAAGCCCTATATTTGATGGTAAAAACCATGGTTTCCTGTAAATTTTCCCTTAAACCAATCCAGTGATAGATTTGACACCTTGGTTGAATAGGAGAGATGTGAGATACCGAAGTGATGCCATTTCCCTTTCAAAAACACACTGAAAAAGCCAGTGCATCCAAGGGGTTTGCTTTGGCCTTGGTTATTCTGGGTTCGTTTGTAGCCACCGCCAAGGATGGTCAGTAAGGGAAGCCATCCGGAAAAGATAAGATGGTAATTATATAATTCGTGCCCACATCTTCCATGCATTGTATTCTTGCCTACAGTTGGGTTGTTTCTTGAGTAGCAAATGGGATGGTTTGCAAAATTCATTCAAAAAATTGCGTATAATCTAGGCAAATCATAGTCATGCTTCAAATTGGCTGATTTATGATTGTGGGTTTGTCCAAAATGGGGGTACGCCTAACTTGTGGCAAGTTTAATCGTGAAAACACGGTCTTGAACCTTAGATTCTGTTTTTTTCCCCAACTTTTTTGACAAACCCAAATCATATTGTAGCTTAGATATCCAATATTGTCCAATTATGTCCAATTTATATTGCGAGTGTGGTCTAGCCAGGATCCATAATAATTATCGTAAAATAATTTGATTTGTACTTATATATATATATTAATTACACACACACACAAGAGCAATCACTGCCGATTTTCTCCGGACCCATGCATGTGCGGCGCGAATGCGCCTTAAGCGACGTCCTAAACCCGAAGAAACTGAGACGGCTAGCATAAGGAAAATCAGCCTTCAAGACAGGAAGGACAGTCTTAACCATAGACCTTATGACAGCAATTTCGCAAACAACGATCGAGAAAGGTCAAATCTCCCCAATAGCACAATGGCAACACATTAAAGATCTAGAAATCCATCCCAGCCATCATTCGCTGAAAATACCTCCCACTCACATTAATTACACATATTAATAGCCATCAATCCCTGCCACCCAATATTGAATACCTTCAAAAAGGGGCCAAACATGACCAGATTGAACATTACACTATCATTTCACCAGTGTTTCTAGGGGGCTATTTCTTGATTATAGTTATAGGATGCTATAGGTTTATACTTTTATACATATCCGATATCCCATAATATATTAAGATTCCGTTGTATCATCCTAATTTTCCCATCACCAGGCTGCCACAGCGCGGCTTCTGCAGAAAGATCGGCGGCGTTCCACACAGAAGACCGGTTCCAGTTGAGAAAAACACCGGGCCGGGCTGACGTGTGATGTGGGTATTGGAAGATATGATGGGATAGTAGAAATCCCAATCAATAGCTAGTTAGTGGTTTCAACCATTTGTTATTTCCCATATATGGGATGTCATCCAAAGCCCATTGACGAAGTCCATCATGTTTCAAGATGGGCACATTGCACCACCAAGCAGATAGTGTTCTTCCCAGAAAGTGGCCCCTTGTTACCTAAAGGTCCATTGAGTCCATTGGGATGCCAGCCGTAACTGGGAGCAGTGGGGGAAAATCACAAAGGCCGAGAACTGATGCTGAAAGAAATGCCGAGACCGAATTCAGTTGGGGAAATCAACCACAGTTTTTTGTATCTTAGGAGTTGGGTAAAACACACTGGAAACTGGAAAGATTACATAGTGAGAAAGACTGGGACTATCAAAGACAGATGAGACAGATGTTTGGCATGTCATGCTTTTCAAACCCAATGAAGTAGCATTGAATTGGTCCTGATTTCTGGCCATTATCTAGTATGAAGCGTCCGATTTCGAGGTAGTTACCCAGAAATTGTCGCGTGCAGTGGAGGTATGGTTTGCTATCGTAGGTGGATGGTGCTATATCATACCATGAGCGCATGACTGAGCAACAACCACTTCCCACGTTGCAGGTAGAACATGACAAAATCCGTTTTTTCTCCATGTTGCATGTTTTCAAGAGCCCCCAGGATGCCCCCAAGATGTCGGGAAACTTCGGAGTGGGGTTTCCCAATTTGGTATATCTTGGGATCGCGTTCGCCGCTTTTGCCGCGTCGGACTGGACACTGAGGAAGTCCGACAGGGGAAGCTACCACGCAAGGGCCGGATCTAAAGAGGTGGGAACTGAGAGATGCTGAGATGAAAAAAGCTGGCAGCATCAACTGATTGTGAAGATTTAAGACCCATGACGGATCCATGGTGCTGCTATTTGTTTGGTAACATGGATCCCATCAATACACCCCCTTTTTGTTAGCATATATACCAGCACCATGGATCCGTCATGGGAGATGGGACTCGAAGGGGCAATCAATTTAAGTGAAAGTCGCCAGTAATCAATTAGTGTGTTAACAGTGCCTAGACACATCTAGACACTGTTGTCTTTATCATAATACATACTATATGGGAACATGTCGAATGTAGAGCTTCGCTCAGTTTCTTGATCTAAAGGCAAACACATTAGCATCAAACAATGGAGTCTGTGAACTAAGATGTCGTATCCAGTTGCTACCCGCCTGTAGACATACAAAAATATGTGGAAAACCCAGACCATTTTCCAAGCGAAAAAAATGTTTTCCAGATCCATGTTACTTTACACCAGGATATCACAAAGACAAGAACTGGTTTAGGCCCCACGTGCCAACCACCCATCCGAACTCCAACGTCCACACAGGGTGTGCACACCATCAAGCCTCTATTCGGGGCTGGCTGAGATTGTAAAGTTGGGTAAACCTTATCCCCGAACCTTTGAATATAGTCTTGGGATTTCAAATTGCTGCTTAAACAAATTGGATAAACGCAAACAATCCCATAGATTCAATGACTTTTCAAAGATAATTACTTGTCACATCATATCACATTTCCAGAATCCCTGTGCCCAGCATTTTCTAGCTATTCTAGCTTCTCAAAGGTGCAAAGTCATGCCAATTCAGTTGTTTGTTGCTTAAATCTAAAGTTTTTGTTGGTGGAGTCTCATATTTCTTTGCTTACCCTCTGGTAATTTAACATAGCTATTGAACATGACCATTTATAGTGGATTTACCCATTGAAAATGGTGATTTTCCATAGTTATGTTAGTTTACCAGAGGGTATCCCTTATGAACCCATCGATACGATACGGCCACAGGCGAGCAACCACTCCGGCTCGGGAGATCCCATCGATCGGCGTGTGAGTTCTCGAGATCCCATCGATCGGCGTGGGAGTTCCCCGGGTCCCATCGCATCGAGGAATTTGGATCGCAGCTGGAGCCAATGACTGGGGAAAGTGAGGAGGGAATCAAATAGATAAACTTGGAAAATATCATCTAATGGGTATTGATATTGGATAATCATGGATATAGTCATATTAATTAATCAAATGGATATTTAATATTCATTAATTTGGTTAATTAATGGAGAATAATGGAAAATAATGGATATGAGATATTTGGGGATAAAACCAATAATGATATTGGATTTGCTGCAGACCCGGTCGTTCGAGGGATGGGGGGGGTTGTTGTTAATTGAGGCCGGGGGGTTGTTGTGCAAGGCTCGCGTAGACTTATTTAGTAGCAGAAAAAGTTTCCATGGAGTAATTTAGTGTAGAATTATTTAGTAGCAGAAAATCCGGGAGCATTTTATGCTACGAAATAAATCTACCGGAGCCTTTTCTATCACTAAATTATTCTATGGAAACCTTTTCTGCCACTAAATAAGTCTATATTATGCAGAACATGATTTGTAGGACTATTTTTTTTATGTTAGTCTTATTGTGTGTTGCATCATAGATTTAATATATAACTCACTCACATATCATTTTGGATAGCCAGTTGGATCCCATACTTGGAGGATCACCTCACGATTCTGTTGATCGAGACTCGACCTCTGAGCAACTCTTAGCATATATGGGATCCACTCTGGTAAACTAACGTCCCTTAAAAACCTGATATAAAACATACGTATTTTCCAGGTTAGTTTTGCTGTAAAATGGTATTATCCCAAGGAAAAATGGATAGCTATGTTAGCAGCGTCCTTTTTGATAAATCCATGTTTTAAATGCGGTGGAGAACAAAATGATAGCCATGTTAGTGGGCTTCCTTCTATGTTGGAAACATTGAGTCCTTGAGTGCTGTAAAATTATAGCTATGTTAGTGGGCTTCCTTCTTTGTACACACATGGCTGTGTCTGAAAATAGGCTAATTGTAAATGGGCCTATTCAATTGGATATTTGGCAGGCATACCTCATTTTCAGTCAAACGAGTAAGAGTTATAATAATGATGATCAAACATATAATGACAAACATAATGAGAATTATAATCAAAATCATCACAATGAAAAAACATGTCACAATGATGATAATGCCTTTATGGTGGTACTTCTAATGATAGCCATTATGCATTCATAATCTGAAAAATGATTTGTTATAAGTTATAATCCATGTAACTAATCCATATGAATATTCCATTTAATAATTACCATAAATCATGACATATGACTAATAATGGATAGTAATGGCTATAATCCATATGACATAGTAATAATCCACCGACCATTCAATAATTGGATCTTTTGTGGCGCCACGACGATGTCATGATCTTCTGCGATGACGAGGAATCCTACCCGAGCACACCATCCCAGAAACTGCTGGGATCCAGTCCTCTGTGAGTGCGGATGATCAGGAATCTGAGGACGGCCGGGGAAATTTGGGTTTTCAGTGGGAGGTGAAGTGAATGGTGAACCATGAACTGAACTAAGGTGGTTTCTTTACTGTTGATATAACCAATGGCATGTCATGGGGAGATCAGCCACAAACTGAAGTGAATTTTCTGGCTTGAAACCAAAAAGTTGATGTTCCAACCGGAATGATGATCCCAATGACAAGCACATCCATCATCCATTTTGATGCGGAGGATATATGATCCGATCACCCAGAAAAACCGACAGAACTTCGATTCGGTGTATTTACGATTCGCCATGTGATGGTCAAAACTCCTGTTGATTGATAATTATATGGGACATACCAGGTATGGGATTATACAGTCCTTTACGTATTAGGTATATATATACACATAATATAATATATATATAATCATATATTATATATAGTGGATTATCACAATCCATAATTTTTTCATGATAACCAGGTATGCGCAACGGCCCTGAACATTGTAGTTTTCCCAAGCATAGAACCCTAAACCATTCCTGCCTCCAGAACGGGGTGGGGAATTGAACATGGGGGAATTATATATTGCTATTGAATAGGGAATAGGGAAATGTGATAAACCAGAGGATAGAATGGGGTAGGCTATTTTCAGACAAAGCCATTTATACAGATGAGGTCGGTTTTGTTCAGCCAATTACATTTTCTTCATGTCAGGTCAGTGAATCTATTCCTAAAACCACTAACAGTTGGTAGAGGGATCAGGTACCAAATCATTCAGTGAATCCCGATAGTAAGGGGAATTCCCCGAGCATGGCTTGAAAATGTTTGTTTCAAGCTGGTTTGGGACGTACAAATGATCCTTTTTCAAACCGACTCTCTTCCTTTTTCGGCTCGCCATGGCTCGCCTCTTCGAATGGGATTCCGCTCCTGTTACCATCTTGAAGCCCTGCCCTGCAACGATTCCATCCAATTGACAAGGTCCCACCGTGTTCCACCATCCTTTCGCCAGGTGAAATTCGGCGAGAGCGAGGTAGAGGAGGACTGCAACGCCCACAGCCCACATTTGAAGTGCAAAACTCTCAGGGTGCGTAACCGGGAAGCTGGTTTGAACCATGAAATATGGGGGTTCAGCAGATTTCACCTGAAACCAAATTCTGGGACTTATCTGAAAATGAAAGTGAGTTCTTGATCCTCCAGCAATAAACTCTTGTTGTTGGGGGGAATTGGGGGGATTGCGCCATATTCCAAATAAACCATCAACCGAAGTGATTGCTGTTTGTATAATAAACTGATCTAATTATAGACTGATCTTAAGCCCCTTATTTTTTAAGGGCTTAAGCCCCTTATACGATGCACCGCAGCCGCAGCACTCCGGACTTCTGGGATCAGGAAGAGGAAGAGGACGAGAGCCATGAAAAAGTTGACCACTTTCCGAGTTCCCGAAAGTCCCCTGGCACCCGGCAACCCCGGCAGCCAAAGAGAAAAGCCTGGTGGGAAAAAAACATCGTGGCTACTTGTTCCCTGGGGTGATCTCGGGTCAACAAAAAAAACACACTTCATAGGTAGCTAAGTGACATGTTATCAAATTATACTAAGTAAGAACATGTCATAACATCTTACAGTTTCACATACTTGCACATAAACCAACCACATAAACTAAGCGGTGCATGACCCTCCAGTCAGTCCCGGGATATAGAGATCATGACAACAATTTTTGTGTTAAAAAAAATCTTGGAACCCTGGTGAACATCCAAACACTCCATAAAAATTCATGTGAATCCCCAAAATATCGCACATTTTCGAGGTTTTGACCCATCCCCACATATATTTGCAAAAATGATCTATCAACTCCCCTTCAATTTTAGTTCGTAATGACCTTCACATTTCCGCGTGTTCCGCTGGTCTTTTGGATTGTTTCGATGTTTCCCAGATGCTCCATGTATGGTATATGTATATCTACACTTTTTAAGGGCTAAATGCTAAATGAATACCCTCTGGTTATTTAACATAGCCATGGGAAATGGCCCATTGAAATAGATGGTTTACCTATTAAACATGGGTGGATTTTCCATGGCTATGTCAGCCATAACCAGAGGGTATAAATGAATGACATTCATCCTGCACCATGGAGCATATGGAGGTTTCCTCACCACGCCCCTAGGCGCATCTTGGTTCGATGTCGTCGGATTTCCCTGGAAGAACTGCGGGACAACTACGACTCGGAACTGGTGAATCGTCAAGGGGGAGCCTCGGCGCTGTTGGGAAAATCCAGGGGAACAGGCCGTGAACAGCGCGTCTTTGTGGTTTCCGAAGTCATGGGGGTACCCCCAGTTCTCATCCCCAGTTCTCATCCATTTTAGATGGGGATTTTCCATTGATTTTCCATGAAATAAACCATCCAGCTATTGGGGTATCCCGTATTCCCCATTTATGGAAACCTCCATATCTGCTACCCTGTATAGTCTTCGGTGGAATTTTCGATCATGTTTTGGCATTTCCATTTCCGGGTAACTTAGAGACCAGTAGGGTACCTATCATGTTTACCGAGCCTATGGAACGGGATAACCGACAAAAATATACAAAATTGCTGATTCAAAGGGATATTAATAGTGATAATATCGCATGAAAAGAATGAAACCAATTAAGTTCCACTGAATCGCATTCAAATTGTGACAGAAGTAACGAATCAGATACTGTAGCGCTTGAAAAAAATGCAGAGTGAATCATCCCAAACCCAAGATCGCAAGTGAATCAAAACGCACAAGAAATGACCTATTCCAACTCGAAGACAAAAAGGCTCCATCGATTGGAAAACGATAGGGGACGTCCTAACCAACAAAGGAAGACACACCTAAACAATAGTATAGAGCCTGCCTCATATAATGGTTTTAAACATCTTTAAACCAACCAATCATTATCATTAGTCCCATTCCAACTGACATTGAACACCACCAAAGCTCCCATATCCTGATGGCTCGGATGTTGGCACCGGGAGTACCTTGAGGCAGTCGGCGATCTGATGAAGGAAACAACGCGATGGCAACTACCCTAAAGTTTCAATGGTCAAAAAAAAAGGATTTCCAATTTTTCGTTTTTTTTCCCATTGAACATCCTTTTTTCGCATGGATCAACCCAGTGTTCACCGTTCCCGTTGCGCTTTTCTTTCGAGGTAACAACCGAGAAAACACGCATC